AAGATTCCTCCTACCTTGCTTCATGTAAGGTTGTGTTTTTTTATTCTTTTACTTTGTTTATGTGTTTACGCTAGTTGAGGGATTCTATTATGATAACTCATGTATATCATTTTGGTTTAGTCGCTATTAAGGGTCATGAGTCTTGGGGTGGACTTCCTGGTAATTAATACAACGGGTTTTGATGTGATTTCTGGGCAGTTTGACCACGACTTGTGATTTGGGTGCTCTACATGTATGGAAAGTCTGTTACGTGTTGTGGTTTTGGTTCAACGGTATTGAGTTAGTAGAGTGTTTTATTTGTTGAGATGTTTATCTTACTTGTTATTCCGAGATGAGGATGGGGACCTGATGTTCTTTGTGGATAGGTGTGTTTTTATCGGGCTATGTGTCGCGGTGATGTTATTTTAGGGTAAGATTCGTTGTGGTTGTCGCGTCTGTCTTGTTTTTTCTTAGTGGATTGGATCCGTAGCATGGTATCGATGGGGAGTTATACGTATTTGACTAGTTTGATAGTTCTCCCATATGTTTCTTTTTCCATGTTCAGTCAAATTCAGGTTGTGCTTGTTAGGATTGGATTGCGATGTATGTGCCCAAGTGGCATTTGATGTGACTTGTTGGTCAGGTGATTAGTTATGAGTTTCACATGTTTCTTGCATCATTGTCAGTATTGGGAAGGTTTGGAACAAGGTTCTAGTCGATATGAGACTATTTACCGGTACCGGATTTGGTAATGGGCAGCTATTGTGGTCAGAGTTGTTGCTATGGCCATATGGGTGGTGTGTTATATCGTGTGGTGATATCTTGTGGATGTATGCATGAGCCGTTACAACTAGTTGAGGATTTTACAGTGTGTTTTTTGATAATAGGGTCCTTGGTGGATGTGGAAATGTAATTCTAAGGCTTATCGGCATGAGTGGAAGGAATAATCTTCGGTTGGGATGATGTTGTCGAGCTTATGTGGATTTGGGTGACATAGGATCACCCGCGTATATGTGTATGGAGATTTTATACAGTGATTTGATGGCTTTGGAAAGAATCTTGGCACGTTCGAGGACGAATGTTTGTTTAAGAGGGGGAGGATGTAACGACCCGACCGGTCATTTTGAGCTTTAGCATTCCGTTCAGTGTTTCAAGGTCTTGAGTGGCTTCATATTGTGTATTATGACTTGCGTGTATGGTCGGATTCGATCTTCGGATTTTTTGGGATTGATTTGGATGAGTGATTCTAATTTTAGAAGCTTAAGTTGGAAATATTGACTGAGGTTTTACTTCTATGAAAACGACCCCAGAAAGGTGTTTTGATGGCTCCGATAGGTTCGTATTGTTATTTTGGACTTGAGCGTATGCCCGGAATTGAATTAGGAAGTCCCTAGGTTGATTTGGCATGTTTTGCCAAAAGTTGGCAATTTGAAGGTTTAGAAATTGCTTAGATTTGCCTATGATTTGACTTTATGGATATCGGGTTTGGATTTTGATTTTCGGACTTGGAATATGTTTATTATGCTATTTGGAACTTGTCTGCAAAGTTTGGCGTCATAGTTGATTTGATAGGAATCGGATGCGTGGTTGTGTTTTTAGAAGTTCTTGAGTTTCAATGTTAATTTCATGTGTTTTAGAGGTCCGATTCGTGGTTTCGGATGTTATTTTGGTGGTTTGATTGTGCGAGCGAGTTCGTATTATATTTTTAGACTTGTGTTGATGTTTTGTGTGGAGCCTCGAGGGCTCAGGTGAGTTTCGGACACATTTCCACGTGTTAGGAAGAGTTTCAGATTACTGGTTTCTGGTCAGGTGCAGCAGATCTCACAAATGTGAGATATGGTTCGCATATACGGGGGGTCATCGCTTTTATGAGGTTTGGGATGTTGGCGGTTTTCGCATTTGCGATAAGGGCTCCGCATTTGCGATGTCGCTTTTGTGAACCTTAGTCACATTTGCAATAATGGTGGGGCAGTGGCTAGTTCGCATTTGCGAGCTTTTTGTCGCATTTGCAATGGGCCATGCTTCGCATTTGCGAAGATTTTGTCGCTTTTGTGATGTTTGGGTGGGCTTGCCAGTGTTCACTTTTGCGAACAATAAGCCGCTTCTACGGTTTCTGCAGGTGAACATAAGGGTTGAATTACGGGATTTTAGTCTCGTTTTTCATATCTTTGAACCCTGAACTCGGTAGGAGACGATTTGGAGAGGGCATTTTCACCTACAATCATTGGGTAAATAGTTTTAATCAATTTCCAACTATATTTCATGATTATATATGAGATTTTACATCAAATTTGTGAGAAACAAACTGAAATTTTGAGAAATTTTATCTATGTTTTGAAAAATAAAAATTTGGGATTTGAGAGTCGAATTGGACTCGAATTTTGAAAAAAAACACTATATAGACTCATGGGGTTATGGGTAGTCGGAATCTACCCTTGGACTGGGTTTTGACCAGGCGAACCCGGGATTGACTTTTGTTGACTTTGGAAAATTGTTTAAAGATCATGGCTTTATTAATTGTAATTGATTTCTCTTGCATTGGTTGATATTATTAAGTCGTTTTTGGTTAGATTGGAGTCGTGCGGAGGCGGATTTTAAGGGAGAAGCTATCTTTGAGTGTTGATTTGGCCTAGTTGAGGTAAGTATCTTGCCTAAATTTATGTGGGAGAAACTACCCCTTAGGGATTGGTTTGATTGCACTATTTGAATTACGTGGAAGACGTGTGCATGAGGTGACAAGTGTGTACACAGCCTTATATGTGGAAACTTGACCGGTTTAGACCCATAGGCTTCTTATGTACATTTGATTGAAGTTGCCCTATCATGTTATATCCTCCATTGTTAAATTTACCCTTACATGCTTTATTTGAACTCGTTAGTTCATGTTCTATCTTTTATTGCCGAATATACTCTTATATACTTTAATTGAAATTGTTGCCTCTTTTATTGTCATGTTATCTCTTTCATAGTTGAGTTATTCTCATTTGAAGTTATTGTTACATGCTATCTCTTCCATTGTTGATTTATTCTTATTTAAAGTCGTTGTTATATGTTATATCTCTCATTGTTGAGTTATACTTATTTGAAGTCACTATTACTTATTATGTCTTTCATTGTTGTGCTTATTCTTCCGTTTCATTATGTTGTTGTAATTCTTGTGTTGATTTACTTGACGTACTCTCGTTTTATTATTGTTGTTGTTGTACTCAGTGTTGTTGAGCCGTGGTCTATGTGTGATTGTGGTATTGGAATTGTTGTTATAGATATGTTGTGGCATATGGGCACATGTGGTGTGAGTTGTTATATTGTGTTGCTATGTTATCTTTTGGCACATGTGGGATTGTTGAAAGGATTGTCGGGGTGTTTGCACGTGAGTAGTCCGTACTATTATTATTATTGATATTTGCACATGCGACATGACAAAGCAGGCCATATATGTTGGGTTTGTGCATGTGGAGAGACAAGGTGGGATAATTAATTTATGCGCGTGTGGCGAGATAAGACGCGCATTTACTTTGTTATTGCGCACGCGGCGAGACAAAGGGGTGTATGTCGGGGATGATTTGTGATGGCCTGGGGGCATTGTTATTGATGATATTTGTGTAGTGGTGTGATTTTCTTGTGTGTGTCATGCATATTACGGGTTTTGTGGTGTTGTTTCCAATGCGCTACTCGATGTATCCGATTTTACCTGTTGACTTGAACTGCGATAGTACACTTGCACAAGCATACACCGTAACATGTCACATATATCATTCCAAGAGTATGAATCTTGATATTTATTGATCATATACTTGTATTCTGGTATACATGCCTTCTGTGCGTGGATTGGACTGTTGGCACGTGAGTTGTCCGTGCGGATATGAGGTATTATAACTATTGGCACGTGAGTTGTCCGTGCAAAATTGAGGTATTAATGGTATTGGCATGTGAATGGTCGGGGTAGTACGTGAGTTGTCCGTGCAATTGTGATATGTAATGTGGGCACAAAATACCATGTGTTTATGATTCGTTATTTGGGACCCGTGACTTGTGATTATGAGGTGTAGTACCCGGAGGTGATTCTTGTGTAAACATTGCGAAAGAAAGCTTGATTATTTGGTTATCATTTGTTTTCCTTAATTGGTTCGACTTGTACGTTAACTATGTTTTGATTACCTTGCAGCATTATCACATGTTTACTCCTTGTTGTTATTGGTTGTTTCTACTTTCCGTTTGCTAGTGTTATATTGCTATTCTTTCCGTGTTTAGCTTTATTTTGATATTTGTTCCTCTTTTAGTTTAGATTAATACTTGTACAGGTTATGATGTCTAGTAGGTGTCTCGACTGTACCTCGGCACTACTTCACCAAGATTAGTCTTGATACTTACTGTGTACCGTTGTGGTGTACTCATGCTACGCTTCTTCACATCTTTGTGCAGATCCAGGTACCTCTGAGCATGCCGGTCATTAGCTAGTTGTTGGAGATATGCTACGGAGACTTCAAGGTATACTTGCCACTACGCTCGCAGGCCTCGGAGTTACCTTCTATATGCTTCACATCGTTACTTTTTACTTCTATTCCAAACAGTGATGTATTTGATATTCTTAGCTACTCTCAGAAAAACTTAAAGACTCCGTACTACCGAATGATTTTGGGATATTGTAAATCTATTGGATAGTTGTTGGCTATGTATGGCAATTACTAATTCCTATTTAATGGTTAATGATTTAGATCTATTAATAATTTAGCATGTTTTAGGCTTACCTAGTCTTAGAGACTATATGCCATCACAATATCCGGAGATGGAAATTTGGGGTCGTGACAAGTGGTCAGGGATATTATTGTCATATTATTATTTATTTTTTGTCAACTGGCTACCAATTCAATAATTTTTAAAAATAAGATACAAGTTAAAAGGTGTTACAAATATAAGATACGACTGCAAATAGCCCTTTATTAGGTGGGAGAGCTCATTCGGCCTGTAAACCCATTAGAATTTCTCTCTTCAATCAATGAGGGACAATTGGCACACAACACTAAGATACAAGACATTCACAGAGACAGGATCTTTTAGAAGAAAATGTTCTATGAGCTCAGGAGAATGTAAATAATTGTTTGGATGAACCATAAGATACAAGTAGTTGCACCGGCTCAGATTGTACAAAATGAGGATCCTATTAACTTTCAACTGGATTTTAAAACTACTAGATGCAAGATCATACATGCAATTGTACAACTGCAAGACAGAAGGATTTCTCTATATCACTCCCTTTCTCCAGTAAAGAACTGGTGATGGAAAATTCTATAGGAGAAAAGAAACTTTTGCAAATTGCAACAAGAGCTAAACCTGTTTTTGAGATAGGAGGACAAGCAGCCCTTGAGGGCCTAGTAAAATCTCATTGATGAAACTGACTAGTCCAAACCAAACGACAGGAGTTACGTCGACTCCAGCGAGAGGAGGAATCAATTTTCGTGTTGCGCCAAGAATGGGCTCTGTGGGTGCATAAGCTATGACATACGGGAATTCTCCAACTGGAAGCTTAGGATACCAGGACATGACTATTCTCAAAATGAACAGAAACGAAAATGCTGATAGGAAGGGGCCAAGAAAGCTGATTGTTAATTTTGCTGTGGCAGGGTCTAAATCTAACAGTACCAATCTTTGCATCAGCGGCAATGAAGCATCTGAGGTCTCAATTGCGCTGCTTGTCAGTACTTTAACAACCTCTTCTGAATTGAGAGGACTAATCGGGACGTTTCCATTTGACTGCACCAATTCAATAGGTGCAGACATTGAGCCGTCCAGATAAGAACATGCTCTGAATTTTGTGTCTCGACAGCTTTGGATATTTTTTCTTCTCATGGGTATTAGGAAGTTTCCCTGCAACAGATAAAGGTCTGAAGTTCATGAACTGTGGAAAAGTAAATTAATGGCAGTCACAGAAACAAAATAAGATTTAAGCTAATTGGTATATACTGAATAGAGTTAATATCACTCTTTCTTTTTCTTTTATACGAGAACAATGATGCATACCTACAATTGAAATTACATGTGATCAAGTCTTGCTTACTTCAGACTAAAACCTGTTTGCTAGGTGGGAAGTTCTTCCTAAGTTGTAAGTTATAGACTACTAGGACGTAATCATGAAATATTCAGCCAAAATGACAGTTACTGATGATTTTCTAGAAATAATACTGTTTCGTAGTTCCATGACAGAGCTATCAATTTGGAACAAAAATTGAAGTTTACAAGTCGCAACCAACAGAAAGGACAACAGTTCTGAACGTTAACACGTAGAAATACCTAAACAAGGAGTAAATGTTAGATATATTACAAGAACATCATTATGTTTTAGCATCTGAGCCTAAAATATCTTTCACAGAAAATTCCCTCCCTCTGCTTGTGAGCAGTCATCAGTGCTCAACCGACTGATAGAACAAAAAATCTGAAGCTTATGTATAAAGTCCCTAAAGCAACCATTGCTATTTACTGAGCATCTAGAGTAACCACGAGTCAGATGTTATTGAGACAAGCAGCCAGAGGTGGATCCAGAATTTGAAGTTATGGGTTCCTACTACGATCTCAAGTTAATATATAGTGACAACTGGGTTCACAGTCAAATATTTGTAGATATTTAGTAATTTTTTTACTGGGTATGTGTTGCATCTCAGTGATCAACCAAACAAGAGCACTCCAGTTTTCAGACTGCTGCCATACGTAGTTGCTGTATATTCAAAAATATTGAACAGGCAACCATAGACTAGTATTGTAAACCTCTATTACCAACATGGTTTTTTTTTCCTAATAATCCTGGCAATGGTAATGAAAGGCAATTCCCCCCATCATTGGGAAATACTTACATTTGACAGTACAAAGACAAGCTTGAATTCAATCTATACTTTCTAAAGTTTTACCAACTAGGTGACTGTACTGCTATAATGAAACTAAATTGTTTCCTAATATACCTTTTTAGCTATAAATTACGAACTCTCATTATGTGTAACAATGGTTAAGAGAAGAAATGGAATGAAATATGCGGCATTTCCTATGATCAACACATAAAGCATACCTACAATAGGTACTAAAGCAAAATAAAGAAGGAAATTCAGAGAGCTGATAGCCTGAATTCAACAAACTAAATAGCCGAGAAAGCCTAAAGACCTCAAATCTATCATAAGATTATAAAACTATGGAGTATCAAATCTTGCAATTATTATATGCAGAAACAAATCACAAATTTATTTTTATATAGAACAAAAAGCATACCAATATTATTCTTTGTTCCATCTTAGAATAAAATCAATATCCTCAGGCTACGTTGTTAAATTTTTTATATTTCGACGGTCTGAAACCAAGTGGATTAATTTTTGTCCCATATTTCTATTCTAATAGAGGGGTAGGTGTTTGTTGTTGATTCTTCCCCCAACTAATGAAGAGATCTTGGCGGAATTGATCATGAGATATTCTCAATTTCTTTCAAAGCCGTGTTGGATGAATTGGCAGTCTTCTTCTCAGTTTATGCTGGCACTGGAAAAGTTTCACTTGAATGGAGCAAAATTTCCTTTGGATAGTTTCTTCTTCTTTTTTTTCTTTAAGGAAAAGAAGTTTTTATATTACGCCATGTATTTTCAGTATAGAATTTTCCCTCACTAAGCATGAATTATTCTGCTTGCTAAAATTTGTAAATAGATTAACTGCCAAATAACATAGAAAGATAGACTATCACTACCACATTATTTTAAACAAAATAAGCTCATTCACATAATACAGCAATGCCCTTCCTCCCAGCAAAACACACACACACACAGTGCAAGAGGTAGTGAAGGAACTTACATAGTCACATGGAGTCCCATTAATATGTGGGTGTAACAAAGCAGCTGGGTATCCTAAAAGAGAAAAAAAGAGAGAGCAATCAAGAAGATAATAAAGACTGAAGTTTTATTTACATTTATACAAATGAACTGAAATTAGAGTATAAAGAAACTGGAACTTACCAATGGATTGAGGTGGGCTGGGAATAAGGGAAGATATAGCCATATCTGATGTCTCTCAGACAGAGAAGATGGGAAATGAGCACACGTTATCGTCAACAAAGCAGGGGAAGGTTAGGACTTAAGGACATTAGGTGTCGTTTGTTACGCCGACTAAGTTATCTGGGATTATAATTCCGGAACTAATTTATACCACATAAGAAATGAGATAAAATAATTTTATATTTGATTGGATATGATAGATAAAATGGAATATCCTGAATTAAGTTTGAAATAAAATTTATAACTTGTTTGATTGGAGGTATAATTTTTATTATACCGCCAACCAAACAAGATATAAATTTTATTCGTACATCTTATACCACCTTATACCCTTTTATCCTACATCTTAGAGATTGAAAAATGCATAAATGGTCTCCCCCCCTCCCAACTTGGTCCTTAGGGTTTTGATAACTCCAGTTGGATCCTTACCATTTGCATTTCATGTTCATTTTGACCCTGATTTACAATAATACGAATATTCTTTTTTGTTTTGAATTTTTTAATCTATTATATTTCATACAATTTTATAAAATTTCATATTGGAGAGAATATCATGTGATAGAATGGTCCATATGCTATTTCTTAACAAGTTTTGTTTCGTAATACTAATCTCCCTCATGATTTATAATGTTACACAGCTTCCCTTGTTTTGATTTTTTTGTAACAAATTATTTTAACATATTATATTTTCATAGAACTTTAGTCCTTACGATTTGATAACATCATTGTATCCGTAACTTTGGCATTTCATGTGAATTTTGCCCTTGATCTTGCCTTCTGGTTCACTTGCATGGTCCACAGACCACTTCTTTTCGGGTTTTGCTTTGTAATACTAATTCCCTTATAATTTACGATATTACGCATACTTCTCTTACTTTAATTTTCTATTACAATTCTTTTAACCTATTCCTCCTATCTCAATTTAGATAACTTCCTTCCCATTTTAGTCAATCACAAAAAGAATGATATTTTTTAAATTTAGTACAATAATTTAACTTTAAACTTCTTATATTACTCCTACTAAGACGATTTATAACTATACAAATATCTATGGCTTGTTTTGGATTATGAGTTTTAAAAGTCTTTTTTCTTTCTTAAATCCCGTGCACAGCCAAACATCATCACGTAAATTAGCACGAAATGAGTAATCCTTCCGTTCAAGTTTACTTGTCTATGTGTCACACCCAACAATAACAATAACAAACTCAGTGTAATCACATAAATTGGGGGCTGGGAGGAGTAAAATATATGCAAACTTTATCCTTACCTTGTGTAGGTAGAGAGGTTATTTCCGATAGACCCCTAGATCAAGGTTAAAGTAAAAAAGAAGCAGATTGAACAAGTAGTAACAGCAACAAGATAAGGTAATAGAATAATCGAAGAGAAAGAACCGACATATAGTAAAAAAAAAAATCTACGGATAAGAAGGTATGAAGATACGAGACTAATAATAATGTTGTCGGCTTATAAAGGAGACACTCCCGCCCATTCACTAACCTTCGATCCTAATTCTCAATATCAATACCTTTCTATCAAGGATCATGTCCTTAGTAAGCTGAAGTTGCACCATGTCATACCTAATTATCTCTCCCCAATACTTATTAGGCCTACCTCTATCTCTTCTTAGCCCCACCATGGCCAACCTCTTGCACCTCCTCATTGGGTCGTCTATGCTCATTTACATGTACGTACTATCTCAGCCTATCTTCCCGCATCTTATCCTCCACAGGGGCCACTCCCACCTTATTTCAGATAACTTTATTCTTAATCTTATCTTCCCTGGTACCTCTACACATCCATCATAGTATTCTCATTTCTGCTATTTTCATCTTCTGGACATGGGTGTTCTTGATAGGCCAACAGTCCGCTCCATAAAACATAGGCGGTCTAACCACCGCTCTATAAAACTTACCCTTAAGTCTTGGTGACACCTTCTTATCTCACATAACCCAAAAGCGAGCCTCCATTTCATCCACCCCACTCCAATATGATACGGGACACCCTCGTCTATCTCTCCATCACTAGAAGTTATAGATCCGAGGTACATAAAGCTCCCTTTCTTATGGATGATTCGTGAATCCAGCCTCAATTCCACGTCCTCTTCATGAGTCATATCGGTGAACTTACATTCTAAGTACTCTGTTTTAGTCCTACTCAACTTGAAACCTTTTGACTCCAGGATCCGTCTTCAAACCTCTGGTCTCACATTAACACAAGCCTACGTCTCGTCAGTCAGTAATATATCTCATCTGCGAATAACATGCACAATGGCACCTTCCCTTGAATGTGTCGCGTCATAACATCCATCTTCAATGCAAATAAAAATGGGCAAAGAGCGGATCTCTAATACAAACCCAACACGATTGGAAAATGCTCGGAGTCCCCTCCCACCATTTTAACCCGGGTCTTAGCACCTCATACATATCCTGAGTTATTCTAGTATGTGTTACATGCATATATCTAACCTCCAAACATCTCCATAGAACCTTTTTGGAGTCTTTGCCGTAAGCTTTCTCTAGGTCAATGAATACCATGTGCAATTCCCTCTTCCTATCCCTATACTGCTCCATCAGTCTCCTATCAAGATGAATGGCTTGAGTAGTCCATCGCCCTAGTATGAACCTGAACTGGTTCTTAAAAATAGACATACTTCTCCTCACCCTTACTTCCACCACCCTCTGCCAGACTTTAATCGTGTGGCTTAGCAGCTTGATACCCCTATAGTTGTTGCAGTTTTAAATATCACCCTTATTCTTGTACACTGGAACCACCGTACTCCACCTCTATTCTTCGGGAATCTTTGTCGTCTTAAGGAGAACATTAAACAACCTAGTAAGCCAATCCAAACACGCTCAGTTCATGTTTTTTCAAAATTCCATCGGGATCTCGTTTGGCCCGGCGGCCGCTCTACCATACTTAATTTACGCATAGACCCTACAACCTCTTCAACCTTGATACACTTACAATACATAAAATCAAGATGGCTCTCGGAGTGGTTCGAGTCCCCTAGCACAATGTTCTTATCCCTCGCTTCGTTCAAGAGTCTATGGAAGTACGTCTGCCATCTTCGTCTAATATGTGCATCATCCACCGATGCTTTCCCATCGTCATATTTGATGCACTTCACTTGGTATAGGTCACTGGACTTCCCCTCCCTTATCTTGGCTAGCCTGTATAGCTTCTTGTCCCTGTATTTGGCCCCAAACTCTTCATATAATCGACCAAACGCTACAGTCCTAGCCTCTATAACAGCTAACTTTGCCTCCTTCTATAATGACCCGGCCGGTCATTTTATGTATTTGATCCCCATTTCCCTATTTAATTCTTACCATATGCTTGTTTATTATTTTGTGACTTGCTGGGATGGTTGGTTTAGTTTTTGGAAGTCTTTTAGAGTGAATTAGAATACTTAGTTCTATTGGTGAAAACTTAAGTCGTAAGAGTTGGTCAAGGTTTGACTTTTCCATAAACAATCTTGGATTTGTATTTTTATAATTCCAACAGGTTTGTATGGTAATTTTGGACTTATGTGTATTTCCGAATTTGTATTTGGAGGTTCCTAGAATATTTTGCTCTAAATATCAAAAGCTGAAAGTTTGAAGGTTTAGAAAGTTCATAAGTTTGACCAAGGGTTGACTTTGATGATATCGGGTTTAGATTATTATCCTGAAACTTAGAATAGGTTTGTCTTGTCATTTGGGACTCGTGTGCAAAGTTTGGATGTAATCCGGATTGGATAGGCTTGAATCAGACTCTTGGTTTGAAGTTTGGAAGTTCTTGAAATGAAGAGAAGTTCAATTTATGGTTTAATCTTCAATTCGTCAATATGATGACTTCATATGTGTTTGGAGGATTTGGATAGGTCTGGGTAGTATTTAAGACTTTTTGGTATGATTGGATGAGGACCCGGATGGCTCGGGTGAGTTTCGAAGCACTCGGAGCTTATTTGAGGTTGCAGATTTTCTGCTGGTGTCTGGTGTGCTTTGCGATTGTGGAGAAGGTCTCGCGATCACGGAGGGTTATTTAGAGGTAGGCTGATTTAGTTCTTCACGTTTGCAGATAGGAGGTCATGTTGGCGATTAGTTGTGCCAGTTGGTCTTCGCGTGCGTGCCTTGTGTGTCGCGTTCGTGTAGAGGTGAGGCAGGCTGAGAGTTGGCTAGAGGTTGGCCTTCGCAATCGCGGGAAGGGGCTCACATTTGCGTAGTCCTGGGGCGCCTCTGCATCGCGTTCGCAAGGTGACTACCATGTTTGCATAGGGTCTTTTTGAGGCAGTGACTGTTTGTGCTTCGCGAACGCGAGGCATTGACCGCGTTCGCAAAGCGTATCGCCGGGCAGAACATTAAGTGTTATATTTTGCAATTTTAGCCCATTCTCTCATATTTTAAACCCTACACTTGGAGAGGGGAGATTTTCGAAGGAAACTTCCATACAAGTCTTAGGGTAAGTGACTTCTACTTATTTTTGGTATTATTTCAAGAATCTATATGGATTATTAACACCTAAATATATAAAAATTTGAGGGAATTTCTTTTTTTGGGGGGGGGGGGGGATCCTACAACTTAAAAGAGTGAAAATTGAGATTTAGGAGTCTATTTGGACTCGATTTTGAAATCTTATCACATATTTAGACTCGTGGAGTTATGGGTAGCCGGGATCTACCCCTTGACTCGGGTTTTAATCACCATGTAGATCCGGGTTGACTTTTGTTGACTTTTGGGGATTTGATTAAAGATTGAAGCGTTATTCTTTGGAATTGATTCCTATGGCTTTGTTTGACGTTATTAAGTTATATTTGACTAGATTTGACTCGTTTGGAGGTTGATTTGAAAGTGAAGGCTATTTTTGAAGGTTGAAGACTACCGAGTGGAGGTAAGTCTCTTGTCTATCCTTGTAATAAAAAATTCTCCCCATAGGTGATCTATTTGCTACTTGTTGCTCAATTTAGAAGTCATGTATATGTGAAGTAACGAGTGTATATGCGTAGCTAGGTTGGCCATATTCGGTAAATGTTGGCTTAAGATTATGCCTCATTTTGACTATGTGAAATTCTCATTTATGTTTTATTGATTCTATGACTAAATGATGACTTGTAATTGTGGCTTAGAA